GCTGAATTGCACAAAACGCATGATCGCACCGGCTAGTCTGGTGCGCGTTGCCATTTATTTTCTTTATTTTGAAAGTAGGACAAATTCAGCTGTGACACATGAAACCATTTTAGCCGCTCCTTGACGGTTGTAATAAAGTTTTCGTTAAACAGTAACAATAGACCGATCAAAATGGAAGATCCTTGATCGGCTATATTCCGCCCTTGCCTGCATTTGCTTCAACAGCAGCATAAACATAACTATTAATGTCAAGCAAGCCTAAAAACGTTTTTGAAGGGAGCCTGAATTTTAAACGTAGTAATTAAACTGATCGGAATTCAGGAAGCTCTTGAAAAAAAAAAGACTTCCGATGTCTTGGATTCTACACGGCAATTAAATGTGCAACTCCAGTTATCGCTTCTTTCAGAGCCTGCAGTGCATCAGATTCAAAGACTGGAAAACAAACAGTTGCTATCAATCTGCGGCAAGGTTAGTTCTTTAGCTTTATAGCCACACACTATTACTGAGGCGTTTTGGATATTCCTCTTACAGATTCTGGCAATATTTCCTTGCGTTTTTTCCTGGTCTGTACATCATTGGCAAAATATTTCAAATGCCTTTATCGCAGAAGATATTACACTCATCGTAGAAAAATTGCAATCGTTACAAAAGCTGATAAATGAGCTTGAGAGCAAAGTGAAGGGTATTGGACACTATGCTTGCAACACAGAAACCAGCTGGGTAAAAAATGAGTGATGCTGTCAGTTTGGTATGAGACTTAAGAACCATTGCATTGACCAAATTTGTTTGACCCATATTTGCTCGAAGCATACCTTCTGATGGGCAATGAATTGGGCGTAAGGCTGAGCAGGGAGGAAAGAGAATGATAAAAGCATTTAACAAGAAACCTTTCTGTCTGCTGCAGGGTATCAGTTGTGGTACTGACACTTTTCATTTCTACAGTGCTACCAGTTCCTTCCCATAGAAATGAAGCCTGGAATGCTATGCTTGCCGAGCAAAAAAGTTAGAGGTGACGTACTCTGACAAAACAAATTATAATGCATCTCTGACAAAGTATTCGGTTTGGATCTGGCACGAGAGGCATTACCTCAGCAGAGTACGCCAGGAAGAATAAATGGGCTATGTGGGCAAAGCAAGTTATGAACCTTTATAAAAGCTATGCACCTTTATAAAAGCTCAAGGAATGCCACTAAGTGTTGTAAAGATACTTTGGCATCTTATATGGAATTGCGTGGTTGAGTGAGGCTTAAAATTGGGGAAAATGGCGAAGTTGTCAGCTGCACAAATGATGAGATGAAATACAGTGCCAACTTCTTAGCCGCTTCAAATAAATTATATTAAATTTCTGTTTTAATCCGCTTTTGGTATGCAATGCTGTAACGCTGTTACCGTAAGCAAACGCACATTGGCAAGAAGCTGTGTGTGTGTTGTGTGTGTGTATTCGCACTTTTTGTCACCCACTTTCAATTCGAGAACTAGAAAAGCTAGAAGGTTGAAACTCCGAAGGTGTGCGCCTAAACCACGTGCGACCCTTCTGTTTTAATATCATCACCCGTGTACGCTGGGTGCTGCGTACGACTGCCTTAAAAAAATACGCAGATTTCTTGGCGGGAAAGCGATCTCGGAAACCAGAAATGATAGAGAGCTGAAACTTTTGAGCGATTTTCTCTGTGCATGTGCGAGCTAAATATTTCAAATTCAACCTCTAGACGTACGTGGTTCTCACATACCGGTGCGTGAAACTTTTGTCGAGAAAATTGCTAACTCGGCAACCAGAAAAGCTGGAAAGCTGAAATTTTAAAGGTATATTCCCCATCCAAATACAACTTAAAGATTTCAAACTTAGGATCTGAGTAACTGTGATAGTCACATGCAGGCATGTAAAAGTTTTAGCGGGAAAATTACTAACTTGAGAACCAGAAAAACTAGAAAACCGAAGTTTTAGGAAAATGTTTTCTGTCTAAGTGAAACTTAGAAACTCGGCTCCCCCAGATATGCGCGCTTCTCACGTGCGGATACACAAAAGTTTTGGCGGTAAAAAAGCTCACTTGACAGCTAGATCATTTCCAAATCACAGGTTGGCGTATATCAGGCTTACCGGTGCGAGCATGCATTTCTGCACTGGATATGAAGCAAGCAGGCCGCTAACTGCATGAATGGTTGCTACTTTACACATTAGTGTAAACCGTCGATTTTTTTATGGATTTTTGCATACGTACAAATGCAAAAACTTATATTAGCGAGAGTTTGTCTGTGTATATGTGTCTGTTTATTTCTGTGTGCTCGCACTTTTTTTTTGCTCACTTTCAAAACTCTGGAACCAGAAAAGCTAGAAAGCTGAAACTTCGGGAATATGTACCCACAATCTGTACAGCCCTCCCGCTTTAATGTTGCCATCCGTGTATGCCTCTGTTCCACGTACAGACGCCCCAAATATATGCAAATTTTTTGGCGGGAAAGCGATTTCGGAAACTAGACAAGGTAGAGAGCTGAAATTTTGCAGGGATATTCTCTTTGCGTGTGTGAGCTAAAGGTTTCAGATTAAGTCTTAGATGTACGTAGTTTTCACGTGCCGGTGCGAGAAATCTTTGCAGGGAAAACTGCTAACTCGGCAACCAGAAAATCTGAAAAGTTAAAATTTTTGGGGAATGTTCCCTGTCCAAGAGCAATTTAAAGATTTCAAATTCAGCCTCCAGGTCTGCGTTGTTCTAAAGTGCGGGCACTCAAAAGTTTTGACGGGAAATTTCTCACTGGACAGGTAGGCCATTTTCAAGGAGCGACGATTAACGGAAATTATTCATTTTCCGTTATGCAAATTTTACGGTGATTTGCGCTAGTGATCGCACTGGATACGTATAAAGGAATAACCATTTATGAAGTTAACGACTTGGTTATTTCAGGTTTGATGCAAAAACTCTTCATCGCCCCGGCAAGCCTTATGCATTCCAGCCTGGGTTTGTATAAAGAATCATTGGTGATGCATATGGGCAGCCCCGCGCGAACGTGCGTTTTTGCAGTGTTTCTTGGCAATAAGATCACTCGAAGTTCCGCTAGCTAGGAGCCTCTTGTACATACTGGTCCTCGAATTTCGGGCAGTTAATTATTCACGCTATACTTGGACAGGGAACATTCCCTCGAAATCCCAGGTTCCCAGCCTTCTCAGTTCCCGAGTTGCCCAAATTCCAGCCAGTAAATTTCACGGGGCCGTACTTGGCAACCATGCATAACAGGGGGCTGAATTTGATAAATTGAAGTTTTAGATGAGTTGCGAACATTTCCTGAAAGTTTCAGCCTCCCGGCTTTTTTGGTTCCCGAGATAGC